CTGGATCTGGTCCATGAAGCTCGAGGCTCCCCGCTGCAGCCATGTGAAGGTCCAAACCACAGGTGTTCCCAAATCACAGACACCTGGAAGTGGATCACGTTTGTAGCACTGTCCTGCTCAGAGGCCTCCGCCACGCCCAGGCCCCATCACACTAGGGGATGTAGACACACAGAGAGAGACAGGAATTACAGTCGAGACAGACAAACAGCGGGAGGGGGAAGAGAGAGCCAGAGCCAGAGGGTAAGTGGTGGCCATTAGGAAGCCATTAGGGAACCATTAGGGAAGGAATAGACAATAAGACAGAAAATATCATATTGCCCCTGGATAAATCCATGATCCGCACACCGACACCTGGACTGCCGTGTGCAGCTCGGATTGCCACAGCTCTAAAAATATACTTTAGAATGGGAGAAGGGCAACAAAAAGGATTAAGAGCATGGAAGAGATGACTCAGAGGAGATAGGATAGAGGTCTATAAAATCTTGACTGGTGTGGAGAAAATAAGAGTAAGGTGGATGTTACTTACTCCTTCACATGACACAAGAATCAGGGGCCACCGAATAAACTCAATAGTCAATAAATTCAAACAAACAAAAGGGAAGATTTCTTCCTAGAGTGCCTGGTCAGTTTCTGGGACTCCTTGCCAGGGGATGTTGTGAAGGACTAAAGTATAACAGGGTTCAAAAAAGAATTAGTTCAGTTCATGGAGGACAGGTCCATCCATGGCTATTAGACGGTCAAGGACACTACCCCATGCTGTAAGGCTGTGTCTACACTGGCCCCTTCTTCGGAATAGCCATGCTAATTTAGAACTTTGGAATAGGGAAATGCGCGGGGGATTTAAATATCCCCCGCAGGATTTAAATAAACATGGCCGCCGCTTTTTTTCCGGCTTGGGGAAAAGCCAGAAAAGAGCGTCCAGACTGGCGCGATCCTACTTGAAAGTAGGAATAAGAGATCCTCCGGAATAGGGCTTTATTCCGGAGGATCGCGCCAGTCTGGACGCTCTTTTCTGGCTTTTCCCCAAGCCGGAAAAAAAGCGGCGGCCATGTTTATTTAAATCCTGCGGGGGATATTTAAATCCCCCGCGCATTTCCCTATTCCAAAGTTCTAAATTAGCATGGCTATTCCGAAGAAGGGGCCAGTGTAGACACAGCCTTACAGCATGGGGTAGTGTCCTTGACCGTCTAATAGCCATGGATGGACCTGTCCTCCATGAACTGAACTAATTCTTTTTTGAACCCTGTTATACTTTAGTCCTTCACAACATCCCCTGGCAAGGAGTCCCAGAAACTGACCAGGCACTCTAGGAAGAAATCTTCCCTTTTGTTTGTTTGAATTTATTGACTATTGAGTTTATTCGGTGGCCCCTGATTCTTGTGTCATGTGAAGGAGTAAGTAACATCCACCTTACTCTTATTTTCTCCACACCAGTCAAGATTTTATAGACCTCTATCCTATCTCCTCTGAGTCATCTCTTCCATGCTCTTAATCCTTTTTGTTGCCCTTCTCCCATTCTAAAGTATATTTTTAGAGCTGTGGCAATCCGAGCTGCACACGGCAGTCCAGGTGTCGGTGTGCGGATCATGGATTTATCCAGGGGCAATATGATATTTTCTGTCTTATTGTCTATTCCTTCCCTAATGGTTCCCTAATGGCTTCCTAATGGCCACCACTTACCCTCTGGCTCTGGCTCTCTCTTCCCCCTCCCGCTGTTTGTCTGTCTCGACTGTAATTCCTGTCTCTCTCTGTGTGTCTACATCCCCTAGTGTGATGGGGCCTGGGCGTGGCGGAGGCCTCTGAGCAGGACAGTGCTACAAACGTGATCCACTTCCAGGTGTCTGTGATTTGGGAACACCTGTGGTTTGGACCTTCACATGGCTGCAGCGGGGAGCCTCGAGCTTCAAGGGCCAGATCCAGGCAAGCCGCAGGCTGGATCTGGCCCATGTGCTCTGCATGCTGCTGCTCCCCACTCCCCCATGGCTGGGGGAACAGCAGTGCAGTGAAGTGCTTGTCGGGAGGCTTTTCCCCACCACGGCCATGAATCACGGCCGGGGCGAAGGGTGGGCGGTGTGCAGCCACTTGTGCCCCTGGGAGCAGGGTGCTAGGTAAGTGCCCCACCCTGATTCCCCTTATGAACCCTCCCAGCCCCCGCACCCCCAGCCCCAGAGTGCTCCTGCACCCTGCCTCCCTCCCTCCCAGGCTCTGCACTTCATCTGCAGTGTCCTCCTGCTCCCTCCCTCCCAGACCCCACCCTCCATCCCCAGCGTGCTCCTGCACCCTCCCTCCCAGAAAAATAACAAAAACAATGTGCAAACCCCACCCTTCCATCCCCAGCGTGCTCTGCACCCTCCCCTCACAGAACCTGTACCCTGCACCGCTATCCCAGCCCAGAACCTGCACCCAAGCTCCCTCTCAGACCCAAACACCCTCTCAAAGCCTTAGGGGGAGAGGTGCAGGCTCTGGGCATTCTGGGCAACACTACATTTTCTGCTAACCTAGCTCTGTATGCTTCCCCCATCCTATGGACTGGATACTCAGCTCCAGTAGCCCAGAACTACAGTCTGTGTGCACCACTCAGAACCACTTTGCCACCCTTACGGAGCCACCAAGGAACATATTACTGCTTCCAGGGAACACCCTCTCCCTTTTCCCCCCACCAAGGTAAGCACTGCCCAGAGCCATACCTCAGCCCTTTCTCCAGCC